TTGCGTACATGTAGATTGGTGCGAGGGAATTTTTGAGGTAAATTAGACGTGAGTAAAATTTGTTTTGTAATAGAGTATGTGGAGAGTCAAATATGCAGAAACTCGGAATGAAACATTATGATGCGCTGTATATTATTTTCATAACATAATGTAACAAGCTATTTTCATACATTTTTAGCATCTTGTCCTTTTATCAATTGTTTTATTTTTTTGTTTACTACTTAGACATATGATTGAAATACAAGGAAGATTTCCAACACTTCTGTGGTAGAGACATATATACAGCTTTATAAGCAGAGAGAGAAAAACAGGGGTGGGGTACTTAAGCAAATCATGAAGTAATAAATATGATTAACCTAGTGTATACTACATTGCCCTTTTCATCCATGTGTGCAAAGGCTTGGCAAATGGATAAGTGATAGAGAGTGAGAGATCGAGATCGAGAGAGAGACAGACAGAGAGAGACAGAGAGATGGAGAGATGTACAGAGAGAGAGAGGGGGGATAGATAGAGAGAGAGAGATGGAGAGATGTATAGAGAGAGAGGGGGATAGAGAGAGAGAGAGATGGAGAGAGAGAGAGAGAGAGAGAGAGTAGAGAGAGAGGAGGGATGGAGAGAAAGAGATAGAGAGTGAGAGAGAGAGAGAGAGATGGAGAGGAAGAGATAGAGAGTGAGAGAGAGAGGAAAGAGAGAGAGAGAGAGACAAAGAGTGAAAGAGTGAGAGACAGAGAGAGAGAGATGGAGAGAAAGAGAATGAGAGCAAAGAGAGAGAGAGAGAGAGAGAGAGAGAGATAGAGAGAGAGGGAGGAGATTGGATTGGAGGGTGACCTGATCAAAGAACTGGTATCCATGAGTGACCATGCGTGTCATTTTTATCACATGACTGGTATCTTCTGAAGATATTAACTAATTATAATGAGATGTGTTGAAGAGGATGTGTTTGCAAATCACAAGGTCCTAGCTTTGTATACATACATTGCATACATGTTATGTATATTCTATCCAACATTGAAACTGAAACAATTTTAAAGCTTGTTATATTTTGTAAGATGCAATTAATAGAGATATTCAAGTACATTTAGCTGATTTACTGATCCTCTGTCAGATGATTTATTATATTCTTAACTCATCAAGTGTATATGTCACCTTCTATTCGAAATGATTCCAAATTAACTCCTTGGAGAATGATTCTATATGTACCCAATGTCCTTTGGAACTGGGAGGCTCCTGTATAATTCAGCCTATGAGATCACTCAGTTGTCAGAGGGTTAAACATGGTATGAATATCTCGTCCAGGTACCTTGTAGATAATTTAAGAAATAAAAAAAATATTGTGGTTATAAAACTTAATTAAATTCATCCTGTGATTTCATTTTGGTCATGATTGTCCTGAAGATATTAAAGCTTATAGCATAAAACAAATACATTTTTGATAAAAGACGTTTCCTAAGGTAACTATTCCTTTAGCCTTTGGATATTCCAATGAAGGTCACTGTAGAGTTGCTCCCAGTCAAACACGAGATACCGAATGACATATCTAAACAGCCAATATTTATTTATCAATAGCAGTGCATGGTTTTGGTCTGGCTCTAGCACGCACCATGTGTTCTGTACGGGAGATTGTGGCAGAGCAGATCGCCAATGGAACAACCAACACCACTTTCCAGCTATAATTAGACCTTCTCTAGCTCTCTCTCTCTCCCCATCAACCCTAAGCCCTTGGTTGCTCGTTAGTGAGTCCAACGTGAAATCTAATTTTGCGTGGTATCCCCTGGATATCGCCTCCGTACGGCGGGGAACATGCGTGGGCCAGGTGATGCAGTGAATTCTAGGCCAATTTTGACTCAGCGTGTCGGAGTGTAAATTGTTCCACCACATAGCATGTTGGGATTTTATTAGTCATACACTCAGGGTGTGCGGATCCCCCTCCGAAAGGTTCACGTTGGAGTTTGCTCGAGAGTTCGAGTTTGAGAGTGTTTACCAACTCTGCACATTCGTGGGGCTACATTACAGTTCAACACAAGGGATCCGTGTGCATGTTTATCAATCGGTATAAACACTAATTGTAAGAGACGATTTGAGCCCTTTGTGGAATCTATCTTGGGATATAATGGAATCTGACGAAAGTGATGAGTAAGTATGGATAGTGGATACATAGCTTGAATACTGCAATAGTTGTGTTTGCAACTCAGGAATGGAATAAATGCCAGGAATGTGCGTGCAAGTGTCAGGGTAACATTTGGAATCTGATCAAATTGTCACATCCAGGGTAAAGACGCATTTATACAACAACAGGCATGAGGCAAGCTGGCTATAAGGCGTGTCATGAAGTGGGTTGGGGGCAAGGGGGCAGGAATAGGTTTAGGTCAGGTTTAAACACACAATTTGGAACCTCCCGCATTTTATGGTGTTGATATATCTGTGTAAAGTTTGAGTTTCATCAGAATCCAAAGCTGTTGTGTGTGTGTGTGTTTTTTTTACAACAATACTCTGGCATTTAAGAAATCTTTCCCACCGGGTACCCATTTTACCAAACCTGGGTCGAGAGTAGCAAATGAAGATTAATGTCTTGCCAAAAGGCATTGGACTGCAGGGCTAGGATTCAAACCCTCAACTCCTTATCTCAGATCAAATTTTGTGCATTATACAACCGATTACAAGCAATATCTTTAAATGCTATTGATTTCCCTCATTCAAATAGAAATATGAGAGTCTAATCTTCATGTATACCTGTAAATTGAGTGAGTTTTCCCTTCACTGTGTTTCTTACATTAACATTAAAAGCCAAATGCAGGCATATACATTAAGCATTTGGTAGCCATGCACATGTGCACTGAATATCAGAATGAATCTAATTATAAAAAGGTGATTTCATTAGGCAGTATTCATGGGTTATTGATGGGTAAATCTTGTTTCCATGGTAACGATGACCACTATTTGATGACAGATGTTCCTGCGGTGCTGTGTTGATTTACCATGACAAATGGCCATTTATTGATCTCCCTACATGTACATGTATGTTTGTAACAAACATCTAGGAATGTCAGCTCAATAGTTATTTTTTTGTTATGTTTTTTCTTGTTGTTGTTTATACTAGTTAACATGCCTCCTGAGTCAAACCATTCATAGCAGGTCCATGGTCTAACCCAGAGCAATATCTTTAAATGCTATTGATTTCCCTCATTCAAATAGAAATATGAGAGTCTAATCTTCATGTATACCTGTAAATTGAGTGAGTTTTCCCTTCACTGTGTTTCTTACATTAACATTAAAAGCCAAATGCAGGCATATACATTAAGCATTTGGTAGCCATGCACATGTGCACTGAATATCAGAATGAATCTAATTATAAAAAGGTGATTTCATTAGGCAGTATTCATGGGTTATTGATGGGTAAATCTTGTTTCCATGGTAACGATGACCACTATTTGATGACAGATGTTCCTGCGGTGCTGTGTTGATTTACCATGACAAATGGCCATTTATTGATCTCCCTACATGTACATGTATGTTTGTAACAAACATCTAGGAATGTCAGCTCAATAGTTATTTTTTTGTTATGTTTTTTCTTGTTGTTGTTTATACTAGTTAACATGCCTCCTGAGTCAAACCATTCATAGCAGGTCCATGGTCTAACCCAGAGCAATATCTTTGCAGTTTTATTGTTCATTCATTCTTGTGACAGAGCAAAATGGTTTAGTGGCTCATTCACTTGACTCTCAATTAAAAAGAATATAGGTTCAAATCTCTGCTTGATAATGCATACACCTGTCCTTATAAACAAGGTATTTTGTGTGCAGTTGCCTCTCTCCATCCAGGTGTTAATTTAGGACCGTACAGAATTTATTCCTTGAATTGAAATGTACTGTGTGCTGATCATATATGACTGCCAGAGCAAAAGCTAGCCCAGGAGGGTAATAACCTCCAAAGTTCCAAGCCTCTTGAAATTACATTTGTCTGGATGTTACCCTCTTTACTTTACTTTAATCCAACAATTGATGTTGTAGGTTTAAGCCTGTTAATTCATCGATCCAGGATTCTTCCATGGTTACTGCTATTTGTGAAGGGAGGAGATTGTGTGCTAACATGAGACAAACAGACAACCCCTGGATATATTACAGTTATATTAAACATATTTCAACATTGTGATATTTGCCCAGAATGGTTTATTATTACCATATCATTGTTACCTTCAAGCTTAAAGTGCGCTGCTATTGTCAACGATGTTGATCGAGCCAGCATTTAATAGAGCGATAAAAGACCACCTGCTTTGCATAACAGGAGATTAAAACTAAAGGGGATAATTTTCGACCATGAAATCTTTATGGCCTTATTAATGTTTTAATCAATATTTACCGTACAAACGAACGGAGAGTCAACAGGGGTGTTTGCCAATTCACAGCCAGTATATCGTGTTCTGTGTAGCTCTCCAGATGTTGTCATATAACGCATGCAGTGACTTAACCTTTGAACACACTGCAATGTATTTTTTATTTTTAAGTGGATGGATATGTGTTATAGTCGATTGAGTGATACAAATTTTAGAATATTTCCATTTATGTAAGTTCCCTATAAGTAAAAAAAAAAACCCAAGTAACAAAAGATTACAAATAAAATGAATAAAATAAAAACTTAACAAATATTGTAAGTGTGATGCCTCCGTTCTCTGTACTATGAACAGATGCCCACCCAGCAGATGTACATTTTTTTAAATGCACACTTCAAAATGTTGACCTTTACTTCACTAAACCCGCCTGTTTCAAGTCAGAAGTTCATGTACCTTTTAATAGAGTTAAGAAACTTCTTGCTCTGAATAGATTATATTCACTTCTAACACTGCCAAAGTAATAGCTCTTTTATTAATTCTGCTTGTTATTTCTTTCTTCTTTCATTGCAAAACCAAAAGGCAGAATGAAAAACCTGATTGATTTGTTTTTGCACCAAGATTGAAACAAAAAGTTAAAGATGGAGTTTCTTTTAATTTTTTGTTCTTGATCCAGGTTACGTCGTTCTGAGACTGAGGACACTTCGGACGCGGCAGACAGGCTCATAGCCAGGCATCGCAGCAGGAGAAAGAGCAGTGTAGACAGTTCCAGTGATGTCTTCGACTCCCCTCACAGAAGTGGTAGGGCTCGAAACAACATATTCTTTAAGAATTCATTTTAGCACCTCTTGAGCAAAATGTTTTCCTTTTTATATATTCTGCTAGTAATCCTGTGGGTGAAAAGAAAATATAAAGAAAATTTCTAGTACTATTGACAAAAGTTGCATTTGGTTATAAGTCATCTTTTTTTTTGCATAAATCATTGTGAAAGAACAATTAATGAACTGAGGACATGAAGTAACAAAATGAAAGTATACATGTTCCTTTAATGCTGATAGATTCAAACAGCAAAATTAACAAACCTGCAGATTTTTCCCTTTTTTCAAATATGTTACTATCAAATAATCTATATACATCATCTTAGATTGTTTTAACTTAATAAGGGTATCTGTATTTTCCCCATATTGTTAAGATAAGTACAGTCAAAAATTATACATTGACATCTCATATATCCAAAGAACTTTGTCATTCATCTTGATTACTTTTTTAAAATATGTAAACAAAATTTCGAGATAATAAGTCGACCCTGGATACCCTATCATCTAGCAGAGCTGCCAACTAGTACGGATTTTCCGTAATTGGTACGGAAATTAACGACCATTACGGAATGTTGTCTCAAATTACGGATTTAAAAAAAAAAAAAAAAAAAAAAGATTTTTTTTTTTTTTTTTTTTTTTTTTTTTTTTTTTTTTTTTTTTTAATGAATTAAATATGATTTATCGTAGCGAGTGCTGTGAATAGGAGCCATTTTTCATGATAAACTGTGTTGTGATGACCTGAAATTCAATACTTAACATCTTTGTGTGAGTAAAATCACCAAAAATTTCAGATAATCATGCGTCCGCGCAGTGTTGGCGTGTCGTTTTTTTAGATTCATAGCGCCGCATAAGAAATTACTGATTTATACCCCAAATTACTGATTTTGAGCCTTGTGATTACTGATTTTCTGTTCTGGAGGTTGGCAGCTCTGATCTAGAGATAACCATCAATAAAACAATTTTTTATTGTTACTACCGGTACTTATATTTATATTTAGGATATACAAGTAAATAAACAGTGGGGAAAATTGGATCATTATCTATTGAATTTTTCATGATGGAATCACGATTCTCCCATCCAAGATAATTTACTTCACACCACCATCCCATTAGTCAAGCCATCCATTTCTCTTTCTTGATGAAGGAAACCCTGATTAATCAACCAGATGTAATTATTGGTCTCGATCACCAGATTCAATGTATGTAGTAAGAGCTAGTCAAGCTGTTACTCAATCACCTTTCCATCAAGAATGGTTTTACAAATGAGGTTCTCATTGCAGCCGTATAGTACTTCAGCTGCAATGAGTAGCTGTTTAGGTTTTCCATGAAGTTTATCCTTTAAAATATGAACGGGGGGGGGGGGGGGGGGGGCTGACATAAACACTCACCCTTTGGTTTAAACCAAGAAGAAATGAAGAGTGATATTTCCTCCAGAAGATGAAATTTTGCCTTACTGTGTATGCAAAGTTCTAGTGAAAAACTTTAAAAGAAGGCAAAACTTCTTGTGTGACCAGTACTCAGTTTGCTTGAAAATTCATAGCTGTTAATATTTTTCAAATATTTCAAGATACAGATATAGAACTCAGCCACTTTCATTTGCTTGATATTAGAATTCATGTAAGATTTCTAATACAATATTAAGCTGGAAATATTGATTCTTTACAAATACATGTATATAGGTTGACACAGGTCAGTTTACGCTCCATCTTATTGACATTTTCTCATCTGACCTCGTAGAATCAATACATAATGTAAACTCAAGCTTAGACAATGTAAACACAAATCTGTTTGATTTATGGTAGCCATAGGTCAAAATGGTTGTCTCCAGATGTCTATAAGTTTTTCTTCTACATATCTTTATTGAAATATGACTAATTAAATACCTCTTTCACAATGGAAATCTGACTTTACACCAATTCTGCACCAATTCTGCACTGACCAAATCTTTTTCGTCTAGGTTAATGTATTATTTTTGGTTAGTCTGCTGTTGGTGTGATATTGGTCTTGTTGGCATGGCTAGGGTATATCAGAGACAGTCTTTGTTGTTATATGATCTATGGGTGTTTCTTTTACAGATCAATTTAAGGTTATGTTACAAACCATTGTTTTTGGCAACAGGAACAAGGTGGGTTGGGAGGGGAGTTAGAAGTATGATGATCAATTTTGTTTACATGATTTTGAATAGAATTCAGCACCAGAAAAGTTTTTCTTTTTCTTTCTGGATCCAGGAATAACTGGATTTTTGTTAAAATTAGATTACATGCATTTGATAATCATTTCCTGTGATGGGAGAGGATAGGGGGGGGGGGGGGTGGGAGAGAGAGAGAGAGAGAGAGAGAGAGAGACAGGGAGACAGAGACAGAGAGAGATAGAGAGTGATTGAGAGAGAGAGAGTGATTGAGAGAGAGAAAGAGAGAGAGAGAGAGAGAGAGAGAGAGAGAGAGAGAGAGAGAAAATGGTCGGGTATGTGAGTGTTAGAACTTGGAGATGGAGAAGAGAAGACTAAAACATGTGATTTGAACATGTGAGTTTGAAACATTATTTGTGAGAGGAAATAGCATGTTTCCATCTAGTCTTAAGGGAATTGCTTGATGCCTCTAAAACATCTTGTCTGGTTTTACTCCCCAAACTCCCTTAGCCCTTTCCTGATCCAATTATTAGAGACTCTAATAAAAAGGGCCCTGTTTCGATACTTGAACTATAAGAGGATTACACAGAATGCCACCTATATTGAATTATTAATTTGAAGATTGTAAAGGTCGATGCTGCTATATTTTGTACCCGGTCTTGTGGTTTCAGCAGATTCTTTTTGCAAAGCAGTTTTTGATAAATATATCTTCACTGTTTAATTTGAACTAAGGGATGATGAACATATTTTGGGAACAGGAAATTTGATCAAGATATTCTCAGAGTTGCTGTAAAATTCCAAAAAGGCTTTTTATTATAATTACAATGACTTTAAATTCATTTATAAAGTGCTCTTTCTCATATTGAAAGGTTTCAAAGAAGTGTAGAGTTAAAAAAAATACTAGTATGAAGCGTTTTGGAAATTGTCTTTTAAAAACCTAACAGAAGAGAAAGGAAACAGATGGAGGAGATCATTCCACAGTCATGTTGCAGAAAGCCTGAAATGTATTGTCACCATCTTTATTATTTACTTGTTATAGTTTTGTTATCAGCCATGTGCTTTCAGACACAAATGGCATTAATATAAATAATAACAATGTTGCCATGTTATAAACTTTGAAGACTCTATATATGTTCATGTATCTCTATTCGATTTTGAGTAAAGATTTACTGCTATTCATCCCTACCTTTGTACAAGATTACAGACGTCAAACAATAACAAGCAATTTTTGTTCTCCCTTTCTTCGAATTCAGGTTCTAGAGGTCGCCATGATGACTACAGTGACTCTGATTCAGTGACAAGCTCAGCCTCTGTCGATAGACCGAGCAGGCGACACCTCAAGTCTGATAGATCAGATATCAGAGAGAGCAGGAGGCAAGATACTCGTAAGTATTCCAGAAATTTGTTTTATGGAGGACGATGAACATTATTAGTTATGCATGAAAAATGCAGGTTAATTAAGTTAGAAACTTTTGTAGAAGGTCACAGATATTCTGTTAACACAGGAATTTGTTGTATTATTTTTTACTAGCAGATTTTACAAGCACACTCATGGGTGACCAATATTTGGTCTGGGGACAATTTCTTTGGTCTTTATTTAGTCAAAGATGCTTAGGGTTGTGATTGGGTTCTAGAGGTGTCCTGGTCGAGTGGATATGTCACCGGATCTGCCAATCACAAGGTCAACGGTTCAAGTTCCGCCGGGGCACTAATGTCCTTTGGCAAGACATTGAGCTACATTTGCCACACTCAATCCAGGTGATGTAAATGGGTACCTGGCAGGAATTAATTCCTTGAAATGCTAGAGCGCCATAATGGCAGCCGTGCTAAAGCCAGGGTAATAATCAGGAGCGCCAGGAGTGTGAAGTCTGACAGACATGAGCGCTATACAAGAACCCACTATCATTATTATTATTATTATTATTATTATTATTATGTTAGGGTTAGGTAGCGTTTTGGTTGAGGGTTGAAATCAGGAATTTTGTCAGTGTTGGGATATCAAACAATTTTCGCCATGGCCTGTGTTACAGAACCCGCTCAAGATGAAGGCATCTGGAAAATGACTGTGTGATTGGAGTGATCACAGTGTGAGGGTCATCACACTTTTAATATTGACTTTAAATTAGATCCAAGGAACGCCTTCAATATTACACACACACCAGGCCAAGGTATGGGGGTATATATACGTAAGATATTACTCCAGATATGATTTACAAACTGCCTTTAATACCATGATCTAAAATTGACTGATTTTTATTCCATAAATGCATGCACCCACCCCCAGTATCGGAACAAGAAGCCGGGGATAGTATTAGACACATGATAAAGAACATAAACAACCTATTGGCGGCGGCAACCAAAGACGACCCCAGTGTCGACGTTAAGATCAATTTGATCAAGCTCAAGGAGGAGGGGAAAAACGCTGATGATAGCGATAACGACATTGACGATAACATCTTTGATATGGAAGATTCAATCGTATCAAAAGATTCTGGAATGGGTGAGATGGTGTTTGAGAAGAAACTTTTGGTGATGGATAAAGATGCTCAAATAATGGTGGCGGTATCCTCTAAACAATTCATGTATTTAGCCATCTGATTTTCAATTGAACATGGGCAACATATACTTCTCTAACTAACTGCTTATTGGTAGCGAGGGTACCTTTAAGGTATGGGTAATTCCTTCATTTACTCCACACTAGATTGGTTACTCACAAGCTTTCTGGACTTCCACTAGAAGTTACCATACTACCAATTCTATGATGTGTATGTTATCTTTGCACACATTTCTCTTAATGCACCTATTCTAATTTGCACTTTGGTGAGCTGCTGTTACATCCACCTTAACCGCAATAAATGACATAAAGGTATATATATATTATCATCCTACCCACCCAGCTGTTACAAAAGTGAAGTGTAATATTGGAAAATAGGAAAGAAAACACATAGAGGGACTAAAATGTATTGGTTAACAATGTTTAAGTTGCTTGGACTCCTAATAGGAAAGTTACAAGTAAAATCATTTTAAGCTATTTTTAATTTTCCCAATTATCTTTTTATTTGATTTAGTATCAGTAACTCGATTTCAGGTTAAGGCTGTCTTTAAATCGATAGAAGATTGGTATAGTTTGTTGAGGTAATCAGAAGTAGATTGAAGGGCTTTGAAAATGACTTTCACAATTGAAACGAGGATGTTTGAATATGAGAGAGTTCCTTTTCCATTCAAGTTCATAGTTGCTTAGTACCTTACAAATATACTGAATGCCATGTACGGCAATTGCTTACTTGACCTTTAACCAATGTATCTGAGGAAGTTGAAATACATGTACACATGTATATGTACATGAGGTATTTTTGTGGGACCTACATGCCTAACATTGCACCAATCAGTGCTAATTGGCTTTATAGAACAAGAAGGGATTACAAATTTGATTGAGCAGTCATCAACACTTTTTGCTCATTTATGGAAGTGTTATACAACATGTACTCCTATAGCACATCCAGCTATTTATACATTTCTGGGTTATTGTTATTTTTATGTCTGTAAACGTGTAATCTCCCCACCCCAAACCCAAAACATAGAAACCTGGCGCAGGCGCGGATAGTCAGGTATCTATCTGTAAACAAATGGCACCTAGCTCAGAGCACAATGGATTTCTAATGCGATGCAGAGTTAATTAACCTAGATATGCCAAGGTTGGGCATGACTGCACAGATTTCTTTTCCAGGAGTCTCCCAGTACTTGTTAGGTATCAGCTAAGGGAAGGTTGTGTTGGTATGTTTTCTTGTACCATGACACAATGACACATACCTAATCCATGATGCTTATATAAGGTCATTTTATCCATTCATGTAAAGAACATGTTGTTGATTAATTTCCCTTTTGCATATATGTAGCAGCTGCATTTCAGTTGTTGCCTATATAAACTTGGGTGTTTGAGTGCAACAAGTATAGCCCTGGCTTATGATTATTTTAACAAAACATATACCTTAATTAATCCTGTTTTTTAAAATTTCAGATACCAAGGTGAATATTTGAATACATGCACTAGCGCTTTACTAATTACCATTGTTTCCTATTCACTTCATAACAGTCAAATGCTAAACTGTGTTGACTCAAATGTAGATAGGTTGTATATATTCCTGGAAAGATTACAGTTTTGAAAGATGATGCGTGTCTTCCTTCATTTGTTATATTGAAGATGGTCTTCCTCTTTGTTTTGTAATGACAGATATACATGTACTTCCCTGATGCAAACCTCCATTTGAAACCAATGAAACAGATGTACAAATATATGTATAGGTTGACAGACTAAATTGACACAAGCCTAAAAATTGGATATGTGTACATGTACATGCATAAATATCTGTCGGGAGCAAAGCTGTTAAAAGAAACACAATCAACAAATTCAGACATTTTCTTATAGATTTTTGTAAAAAGTCATAATCTTGGTATTGAACATAATAACATTTCTCTTTTAATTTTATGTAAAGGAATGTTTGTTTATAGATTCATAGTCACTGCTAGATTTATGTTTGCTAGTTTTCTTATCTTAATCAGAGTGCCTTGATCAACTGCCCACTGGAAATGTACGCTAAATGTATTTGTTTTACCATATTTTGCTTAACTTCTCTCCTTTGTCAGAATCCAAATCCCCTGACTCTGGTTCCCACAAGCAACCTGACGGCTCTAACAACAACAAGCCCAACAGAGACAAGAGAAAGAGACATAACCAGAAGGTCACGATGGAAGACATACAGAAGGCCAGTAAACTTAAGGTATGCCAATCATCAATGTTTTCTATTTTGAAATGCTGTTAAATCTTCATTTAGTATCTCCTATTTACAGTGGAATAACTAGAGTTCTTTGTCATCATACAATACTATCTGTGTATCCCCTTGTGCCTTTGTAGAGGCCAGCTGTAGAGAATCCCTTTTTTCAGGTACATCTGACTATCCCATTTTACTTCCTGAGGGCAGGTGATCTGACATTTGCTGAGACAACGAATGTTAGTATAGGGTTAGAGTTTCTATATTGGGATTTAGATTAGGTTTAAAACTAAGTTTAGGTAAAATGTTTGGTCCAGGATTGAAGTTGAGAATTTAATTAATGTAGGATATTTACTGTTGTGTCAGACGACTTCTGAATCGAACTTTTTTTATATCTTCGCCGAAATCCTCCTTCCACTTTTATTTTCTTTCTAGGGAACGTTGTTGTCGAACTCCTTAACAAGAATGAATGTTAAGAGTAGGTAAATGATTTGCCTCAACAAAGAAACACATTTTCATCAGCGCGTATTTTCCGTGAAATTAGCATGTGATTTGAATAATATGACTTTCCTGTATTTTACAACAAATTGTGATGCAGATTTTCATATGATTTGACGTATAGTTCCTTTCCCACGTGGTAGTGATTAAAGCCAATGGGTACAAGTGCCATGTGATTTTGAACCATGTGAGAATACAGTTTTGATGAAAATACATAAGTGTCACAATTATTTTGTTCTCATCCAATCCTCTGTGCAACAGGGGCCTACGGATCCAGCTCCAGCTCAGATTACAGAGAAATCCAAAGAGAAAGATGTCCCTCGTTCACCAAAAATTATTGAGCCTCCAGTCCATGCAGCAAAGACATCACCCCAAGAGATGTCCCCAAGGAGCCTGAAAGCAGGTGGCTTCAAGATTGAAACTGTGACCAAGACTGAACTGAAGAATGATTCCAGCATGCCCAAACCTGGAGATCAGACGGTGGTCATGAAAAGAGCCGCATCTCCAATCCAGGATGTATCGAAGAGAACGAGCTGGGGATCAAACAAAGGGGAACCGGCATCGAAAGACAGCTTGAAACCTGCAGGTGGAAGGCAGACTGAGGTAGATAGTGCCTCAAGTCCTGCGAGCAAAGTTAAGCTTAGGAAACCAGAGATTCCCAAAGGCCTCCAGGATACAACCAGGCAGAGAAAGAACTCTGATAGTAGCCTTTCCACAAGTGAGTCATTATCCGTCTCACCTACAAGGAAAGTGAGAGGTGGCAGTTTCTCTCAAAAATCATCAGATAGTGAAAAGAGCGGCAATCTTCAGAGGCCCAAGTCAATGCCACTGAAGGATTTGAAGGCAACAAGCCAATCCAAAGAACAAAGCTCGAAGACTGGTGGCCATGCCAGAGTGTCATCTTCTCCAGAAAAGAAGCGGTTATCAAAGACAATGTCATCTCCAGAAAGGAAGCCACCAAAGAAAACAGACCCAAAGACCTCTGCAGAGAGGAAGCTGTCGTCCGCTTCATCATCATCATCTGCCAAAAGTTCTCAGGTTGATAAGAGAACGTCTTATCCCCCCGCAAAGACAACGTCTCCTGATAGGAAGCCCCTATCGAGAAGGCAGTCTTCACCCGAGAAAAAGCTCACAACCAGGCCAGCTTCTCCAGAGAAGAAAGTCTCAACCAGGCAACCGTCACCAGAGAAAAGGGTGTCAAAGACAACAGGAGAGAAAAAGCTCACCAGACAAGCTTCTGCTGAAAAGAAATCCTCGCGAACAACTTCCCCTGAGAAGAGACTATCAGGAACATCTTCTACGGAAAAGAAGTTACCAAGGACAACCTCTCCTGATAAGAGAGCATCAAAGACCTCACCAACAGAGAAGACAGGTATAAGAGCTGCATCTCCCGAAAAGAGGCCTTCCACAAAACGAACAGCGTCTCCTGTGAAGAAGCCGTCTGTGAAGAAGGATTCAGAGTTAAAGACCACAAAGAAATCTCAAGAATCCACCAAAGCAACCAAAGATGCTGACTACAAGAAGACAGAAAGCAAGACAAACGGTGTTGATGTGAGCAAGAAAGAGCCAGCTAAGTCACAGCTGCTTGTGAAGAAACCTGAAATTAAGGAGGAAATTATCTCTAAGAAGGAAGAAACCAAAGAAGAAGCAGTACCTGCTGCCGAAGAACCACAAATGCCTCAGCCAGTTGTGACCATCATTGCACCAGCCCCTGACAGGAAACCCAGCCATGCCAAGAGGATAAGGAGTAGGACCATTGAGGTTGATGCACCCAGGAGATTTGGAGTTCCAGGTGAGTGATTGGCATGAATGAAATGTTTAAGTCACAATATGTTAGATATTCAAAAGTCTCAAGAGGGAATGAAGGTATTGATTTATGTTCCTTCAGACAAGAAAATAAGGACAGTTGACCATTTTTTCTGTCAATTTTGGGGTATTGTTGGATGTCAGCTCGTGAGACCCTCGATGTGAAGATTAATGGATTGTGTAATCTTTTTATCCAGCACGATTTAGCCAAGACTTTTGAGATTCAAGACACAGATTCTGTGTAATATCGTCTGTTAACACTGTATTCTCGTAGTAGAAGGATAGTAGAGTATGCTCTCACCAATTGTATTACATGTACAGGAATTTAGACATTCATTTATCCGAGGTATGAAGTATTATTATAATATCTAATGAAAATCGAAACTGAATTGCATTTCATGTATGGATTGATATTTTACTCCTATATGTTGTTGCATTAGACCCAAAGAGAGAGGCACTTTCTGCCAAGGACGCTGAACTCTTTGCCATGATGCAGATGAGAGCCCAACAGATCAAGGAGGAGGAGGAGAAAGAGGGGAAGGTGGATGAGAGTGAAGAAGAGGATGACAGAAGTGTCTCAGAGGAGAGGCCAGAAGATGTCATTAAGGTGATTACATAGTCTCAAATAACTAGAACTTGTCGTTGACTGATCCAATTATTAGATCTTGCTTGAGGTATACTCCTCCATGTATGGATTAATCTCATGGCTAACCTGTCAGTTCACAAGTATCAATCTTTTTCCTTCAAAAGATACATGTAGCAATCTCTGCTCAAAAATTTGAAAATACTACAATTTTAGTCTGAGAAACGGTGGCTATATGTTCTGTTCCGAAACAGGAACTGCTTCATGTAGTTGTTCCTCTAAAGAATTTTTTTTTGCATGATCAACAATTAGAAATAGGGTCAGAACATATTACAGTGTACATGTATGTGACTCTTAAAGACCATTTATCCTACTTGTAACAGTCTATAAACTGGATGGTATATCAAGGGTTAACCTTCCGCTCCTGTGACCTCAATAGATAAGCATATGTCAAATAGAAACATCACCTGAAAGCAATTATAGTAACTGCTTATTGGTATTGTTAAATCCATGATGCCTCTTGAAAAGATTTGATATGATAGCTGAAGAAGCATAACAAATTACTTCAACAATGCTATCAATTGTTCTTATGATGACACTAATTAGCTGTATGAGTTTTGAAATACTGTTGTAGTTTCATCAACTTTGGTTTATGATCGCTGTGATTCCTCTATTCGCTTGCAAATATACTTTCATGTACTTGTTTAAATATATACTTTCTTCTCGTATGTGTCATGTAGATCGCTGTCAGACTTCGTTAAATGTCTCAATGTCTTGTGCTGCAGTACATGAACCTTTCTGCACACCTTGTAACCTCTGTTGAAAATCCCCCTTCTTGGGGGGAAACGGTGTGTTGTGGTTTTGGAGTCACTCCTCCTCACCCACAAAACTGAGTCATCGCTTGTGCCCTTAAGGCATGATGTATTCATGAAAGTTGTTTTCCTCTCTCAAAGTCAGGTATAGGAATTGGGTTCTCTTTTGAGCTCTTTTTTAGGTTTGAAAGATGGGGAACAACAATGTGACAGTATTATTTTCTTCATCATCATTATCATTGTTTATGATTATCATCTTCACACTATTGTCATTTTCATCATCATCATCATCATCATCACTATCACTATCATCATCATCATCATCCCTATTACTATCACCGTCGTACTTCAGAGTGCTTTAACCCATTGACAACTAACTTCTATTATTCCAATTGACTTTGTACATGAACAAGCCAGCTGCTATTGGCAATTGGCAACTCTTATTTCCTTATGACCTTTCAATATGACCTTCAGGTATCGCTCAAGGACAGGATGCAGTCCTTCAAGGGCAAGGAATCCAAGCCCACCCTTGTAGATTACAGCAAGCTACCGGTATCACCCACACCAAAGAGAGCCACCAAGATGCAGCCTCCTCCAGAGAACAGGTACGATCCCCGCCCCGCCTCCCACTCCGGGGTCGGAGGGACCGCATTCATATTCCCAAAATCTCCGTTAAGGGGTACTTTTCACGCCTCAAAGTCTGGCTCGTAATCGGCCAGTATTGACTTAACTCAGGAGATAGGGGGGTGCTTTCAACGGGAGGGAACATGCATTCGCGTACCCCTAATAACATTGAGTGGGGGTCGGGGTACGATCGCACTATTGTAAACGACAGATTCTTTCATGCCGTGAAAGTATTGAATTACAACTGACACAACATTGAATATTAACCCCATGGCTATGGTATTCTTTCAATCCCATACGTCTTAATACAGGAGCAACCTGGTTCCCGTAAGCAATAGATTAACAGTTCTCGAAAGTTTCTTGCTGTGAAAATGGCCGTCGACATCAATTTGTGAAAGTTTCAATGGCCCTAACATGATCGGTTTTACAGTAGATTTAAAAACTTTCTTCATTCACTGACTGTGCGAATGCATTTTTTATTGATAAAAGTTTTATCGGAATGCCCAATTGTCAAACTGCAAATAGGACGAGTGCACACATACCATAATTATTTTGCCATCGACCCTCAGGTGAGCTTAGTGTGAAGCCCTGTATGATAGTTGTTTATCGCTTTTTGAAAATACAAAATTAATCATCAGAACGTTTCTTCAACAACTGTTTAAAGTAATTTTGTTGTTTTTTGTTAAGAGCAATAAACATATTGTTGTTATTAAGTAGTATAACTAATTGGAAAAATTTCAACGGATAGTATTATCTCGACTAGAATTATTGTGGTAATGCTTCCCTGTATCTCAGTGTCCCACAAAGTTGAGGACCTTGCTCAGTGACTTTCACCAAGGCTAAGGAACCTATCAGAAATTTTTATTAAAAAAATTAAAGCACATATAAGTTAAGAATGGGATAGTAAGATCTTGGCCGTATTCTTCTGCTGGACGCGCAAGTGAGATGAATGAGATGGTAAAAACATGTTCTTCAATGATTGCTAAGACTAAGTATGTTTGTCTTATTGTTGCAGACCTGAGCCGGTCAACGTAAAGCAGAATGGAGAAGAGAGGAAGAGTGGAGACGATGAGCCAGAGGAAGATGACCAGCTGGCCGGTCTTAGCCTTTCGGAGAAGATGAAGATGTTCACTCAGATCTCAGCCATCAGGAAGAAAGAACAGGAGGAGGAGGATAAAAGATCCAAGTCCAAATCATCCTCAAGGTTCCACCGTACGAGAGACAGAAACAGGTTCCAGACTCAGCCGGTCACCCCAGAGGAACTAACATCAGCGTCCTCCCTGGCTAAGGAGATGGCCGCTGCCCAAGCCGACTTAAAAGGAGAGAGTACGGAGAAGGATGAGGACATTGCCCGTGAAGTTAAGAGAGAGGAGATCGAGGAGGTGATGAATACACAGGACAGGATTAGGGAGGAGATTCGACAAAACAAATTGAGGGTAAAGATTGCAGAGGAAGCGTCGGAGTCATCTGATGATAGTCGACTGCCATCGATGGCAGAGGAGGAGGAACCTCCACCAGATGTCCAGGAGGATGAATATTCCAAACTGACTCTCTCTGAGAAGATGAGACTTTTCAAAGAGAAATCAGCAACTCCGACAAAGCCACCTCCCAAAGTCGTAGCTCCGAAGCGCAAACGGAGAAGTGAATCAAGATTCAGGACTCAACCCATCACTGTTGATGAGGTTAAGAAAGCAGCAGTGTCTCCTTTAGCTAAGAGTTTCTCACGGCCGCCAAGCGTAGAGATCCTTGGTGTGCTACCTATCGCTCAGCAGGTCTCGTTGGTGTATGGGGAATCTAATGCTACTCCCAATCCTGCCACCATGAACGGTAAAAGTGTCACATCGTCCCGCAGAAGTTCCAGCTCAGATGTCAAAGTAGAGCCAAAAGAAGCCGCCACTCCTAAACAACTGCCCAAGAAAGAAGCAGAGGTGAAGCCTCAGTCTTACAAGGACTCTGTTAAGAAGCAGAAGAACCTGATGGCCATGCTGGCATCTGAAATTCATGGAGTGGCAAAAGACGATGAGGAAGTTGAGCACCCAAAGTCGGAGGCTGTGGATGCGAGTATAAAGATGGCTAGGTTAGGTCATGATGTGACGTCACCAACTGAAGAGAAGAAGATGGTCTTGGAACCTGTTGAGGCTAAACCTGTTGAACAGACAAAAACAGCTCCTGTAGCTTCCAGCAGAAAGATCGACAATGTCGCTCAAAAATCCCCACCGAGCCCTCAAACGAGACATTCTCTTAGTCAGAAACAAGGCACCAAAGAGGCGCCATCGAGCCCCACCAAGAAGCAGTTGTCAAGTCCTGAGAAGAAGCTGACCAAACCTCAGCCCCACCCCAGGAGCCCGAAGAACATCCGGCGCAACGGAACGGCAGCCAAGACCACCAAGGACGCTGCTGCTCCCACGTCACCTATGCCTCCCCCGAGGAAATCCAAGATTGGGGGATCTCCGGCGCCGATGAGGAGGCAGGACTCCAGGGATGGGGACATCTCAAGTGGTGCAGAGGATGGGAAGAGGATCAAGAATGGTGCCGCCAAGGGGTCGTCCTCAGAGTTTGCCACACCTCAGAGGGAAAATAAGGTTAGTAAATCTGTTGTTAGGACAATACATAATATAAAAATAATTACTCTATTTTGGAAAGCATGCCTAGTAACTTATGGGCTTCATGTTTTATGCCTTGAAAATTGAGTATTTTTAAGAACAAATCAGGGGTATGGTTTCAGGTATCGATCTCGGCATCATTCATTGATAAACTTTGAATTATATGTACATGTATGTGGGAATTTCTTTGACTTTTTTCAAACAATTGAGATCAGTTACCAAAGACTCATCTTATATTTGGACTTTGCTGATCTATTATAACATGATTCCATGGACATGCCAGTCTGCTTCAGTAGAAACTGAGCAGTTACAATGTACATGTACTTGCTGTGTGTGCTGATGTTAAAATGAGCATAGCTATAGAGGGAGACATACACTTTTCCTGTCTGTAATCATTGTGAACCTGTCTAGATCTGTGCCCGATTTCTCCAGTCAAAGATAAAATGTTAAAACAATCCAACCACCCACCAAATTAGGTATACCAACAATTAAATACAATTTTTTTCCTTTTCATATCATATGCCTTTGAAGAGAATAACTTTTTGTCCTCTTTTTTTCTTCAGGCGGACCAGAAAATTGAAGAGTGGAGCTCTGAGTCGGAGTCAGAGGTGCGGCAGAGGACCTCCCCGGTCACAGAGCAACATGTAGCCCTCATCAAGAAGAAGTCCAAGAAGACTAGCAATGCCGAGAAGAGAGACAGGTAGGCACTCTATTTACTTCTCTGCACCTTTTAGTTTTTAGGAGAATATTAGAAGAGCAAAGGGCATTTGGCAGGTGTTAAAGGAGAAAGAGTGGGAGAGAGGAAAGAGTTAGGATGGGGGGGGGGGGGGAGGAGTAGAAGGGGGGAATTTCTAAATGTATTACAAGTTTGTCGTATGGTGAGGGGTGGGAGAAGATAGAGAGAGAAAGTGGTGGAGTTCTGTACTATACCATTCTTTCTCTTTTCCATAAATAAAAAGGAAATGGATTGGGATGTGGCAAGGAAGAAGTGAACTGTGAAGGAGGTGAGTGGAATAGGGATGGAGAAAGTTAGGAAAAGAGATAGATGGAGGAGTAAAGGAGAATATGAGAAAAGAATGAAAGATGGGAGGAGAAATATACAATAATCATGAAATATTATTAATAAGTCGGTATATGAGAAACAGAAAAAGTTTGGTCAATTAAAAAGAAAACGAGTAAGAATGGTGTAGAAACAAAAATCATACAGTATACATGAAGGATGCTATTGTATGAGTTTATCCCCATTCGTTTACATACCGGTACATGTACAGCCGTTTGGAAGTTAAGAGCATTTGAAGTCTGTTTTTACAGGTTTATGAGTAGGGCATTCAATTAGCATCATGGCGTGGTATTTGACATTATATACCAATCACGTGGGTCGTGGGATGACTAACATCCGTGATGTGACAAGAATTTGGCAATTTGGAGCAGTCCTTGGGTAGAGAGAAATTGCTGAAACAACCTTCAATCTTATTAACTTCCAAACTGCTGTACATGTATGTAAACGAATCGGGATGTAATTTTGTTTGGTGTTCAAAGAGAATACTTCAGCTAGTGTGAAAATTATATGAATGCATTACTTTGATATTCATTATTTGTAACCTTACGGATCAATCAAAGTCTTGGAGATTCCCTAGCAGTGTATAATTTTGAGCTGACATTTACTTATCTTAATTTCAATTCCACTTCTTTAATAACTCATAATCTGCATAAATACCTATTTAAATAGTATTTACAAACAACTTACCATTTTTATTGTATTTTCCTTTTATTTTGTTTTATTTTTAGCCAATCAAATAGAATATACTGTACATAATGCTTTGATGTGAAAATTACTTGGTATTCCAAAGAGGGTTTGGGGCATATGTGTACAATGTATGCATTGATGTCACTTTAGATTAAACATTGGCAATCATACACAGGACTACTACTCCTGTATGTTAGGGTTCCAACTCATAGAGTACATTTAGACTTATCTTATAATCAGATTTCTACTATCCTGTTTTGTACCTAGTTCCAAGGCAAAACAAAGATAAATGTACACTACAATTACAGACGAACATAATTATGTGCAAGGGAGAGGCGTCTAACACGTCTGATACAACATGTTAGGTCACTTTCTAAAAATGGTGCAAGATTATTCACTAATTGATGAGTAGTGTTCGTGGTTTTGCCCATTGCCCCAGACGACCCTGACCTAGTCCTACAATTATACCTCCTCCGCCAGCCAGATACGTGGCTTAGCTATGTTCAAGTTTGGCAAATTGGCACCTTTTTGGGACTTAGAGTATAGGTTTTGTATAAGGGATGAGTAACTCGGGTCTGTTCTGCCCTCTGTCCAGGCCAGTCATGGGTGGACTTGATGAATGTAATTGACGTGACGATGACCGAGGAACAGTTGGTTTGGCCAACGTCCAGTGTGAATGACCAGCAGTTGATCAGATGTAGTCTCAGATATGAGCCAGTTTTAGAGTATGAATAAGTGATATTTACACATTAAGAAGCACCATGAGATTCATATGACCATTAAAAAAAAAAATTTGTAAGGCCACAAGCAAAACATTGAATAAATTCTAAATATTTTTACCTTCATTTACAGACTTGATTTTCCAAACTCACTTTATGTTCAGTGTATATAGGTCAAAATGAAGGGACAATTTAAAGGGAAAAAATGTTTTCTTCTGTATAAAGCCAAGTTTGTGGTCATAGATAGAATTACATTTCATCTTATGATAAGGAGAACGATGACAACCCTTAAAATCTAGAATTGTCTCCAAATAGCTCCTTCCTCTATTAACACAAAAACCCTCATCAGTACTTCTGTATGCTCACCATACCAGTAAAAAAAGCATTGTTTGTTAGACTATAGCGTTAGCTGTCATCGGTGACAGAGCAATGATATCTTGACGTCTCAAATTATGGAAGTGCGTTCCTGCTGATTTGCTTGCTCCGCGCTGACCGATGATATTAATCTGGTCATGAAGATATGTTCAGTAAGTTCAGTAATTGCTCTGTAAAGGACGTTATATGTAGCTTTGGGGGAATGAATGCCACTTCTGTCATCTTTTTTTTTGTGAAGTCATCGAACTTGGAGGTGAGTTTTCTAATTCATGTTTTGTTTCTTCTTTAGATGTTGATCACATATATTGGCACGATTTTATATGATTTGGTATATTTCCAGTACCAGTACTTCTATACTATTATACATTTAGATAGCAGTATAAGGAAGTTTAGTCAGGACTCGTACCTCTGTACAGGTATTTAATGTAACAGGGACCTGGTGCACGTGGGCCCCCAATACGGACCCCCCAACTATTGGAAATTGAACTAGAGCCCTGTGAACAGAATTGTAGTCTACTACAATATACTGAAGTTTGATGATGAAGAAATTAAATTTCTTCTATTTGTGCTAAAGTTTGTGTCCACTTAAAACAGTGATTTGGAAGAAAAATGATATCCTTTATTTGTACAATTCTTCAATTACATTATTTCTAGGATTAGGTACATGTAAAAAATGCTACACCTTCAGCCTGCAGTAAAAAAAATCACCACGCTATCTCCTTTGAAACTTGTGGAAATTTTTTATGTATATTGAAGTGTTCAAATAATAATATTTGTTACAAGTTTAATTCATGTGAAACAAATTCTTGAGAAATTATCATAATCACTGGCAATAACCATTGCATGCAGTGATCATCTTGTGGATGAAATATACATTTGAAAATGCCCTGGAAGGGAAGAACAAAACCTGACTCATTCTCTTTTTTCCCAAATGGAATTGACAGTTCCAATTAGATATTTTCTTTTCTACGGTTGTATACCTTGTAAACCCTGAGGGCCATGTGTTTGTATGCATGCATAGCGGGAGGGCAAAACCCACCCAATTTTATCTTATATCGTCATCCCCAATTGCTCTGTGACCTGTAAAACATGGAGATAGATATGATAAAAGGACAGCTAGAACCCGCAGTGATAAAGGAAGGAAATCGGATTAGTTTTTCTTTGTCGTTTAAGGCATCAAAGATGTTTGTAGAAGTGCAAAGTGGGTTATAGGATTACCAGCAATGGACGTCAGGGCCAATGAAAAATGAAATGCATATGTATGATAAATAGCTCTCTTCGTCATTGCAACCTTTTATTTAACAAAGGTGAAATTAAAATGTTTTATCTATATATATTTATTTGTGTATGTGTAGCTTGAAAGTATATATTCCCTCCAAAAGGCAATTGTTATATTTATTTAATTGCATGACATTTATTTCTCTAATCATGTGGGCCCTTGGCTGTGTTTTCAATATAAAGATATGCATGAAATAAACCTATCTAGGAAAAAGGTCATCGGCTGAGATCTAAAAGGGCATAACAGTATAACTCCATACCGGTTCTCACCAGAATAATTTGCAAAGTGGGGAAAGAATACTCCAACACAATTTGTAAAGAAGAATCGATCAGAAAACAGAAATATGCTCAAATCTAAATATATTTAGAAATGATTTATTTCAAGTACCATAAAAAAAAAATGATGGTTTTGTTTTCAATTCAACCATGACATCATTTCTATTAATAAACCATTACATCATCCATACTCCCAGGGTATAATTGTCTACCAACTCCAATCCAAAATTGAGTCCTAGGGCCCTGAAATGTACACCTCCTACAAATGACCAGATGGGATATCCACGGGTGTCCCAGACATGACACGCCCAGCACAGGGAACTTCCTCCCTCACCCATGACGTTTCAGTGTAAGAATGTTAGATTGAATGGAAGCTAGGAGATATTAAAGGCATCTTTTAAAAATATTAAATCTGAGATGCATGGCCCTAGGTGTTATCAGTGTTTTTGATATGGTGTAATATTAATTGGAGCCCTAAAAAATAGTGCTTCAAAATGATCATGAAGTGCCTTAAAAAAAGTTAAAATCTTTGAGTGACCGGTTTGACCATACTCTTTTCCCCCAATAGAATGTAGTGTTATAAAAAACAAAAATCAAAAAATGAAATTTCGATTTCCAATCTTAAATATCGATTTCCAATCTTAAATATCTTGATAATCAGACAGGTGATCAGCTTTTATAAGTCGTGGGATTCCTGACTGACCTAAAGGTTTATAATTTTGATTGAAGCATGAGCTAAATCCGGGATTTTTTTTCAGAATCTGAGGCAAATATTACAGAGTCACTTTAAACAGAAGGGTTGTTAGATGTGCATGCCTGGTTCGTAATTGGTATTTGACTAAGATCATTTTTAACAAAGGAAAGCTCAACTAATTTGGTTAACTCAGAGTTTGGGCCAAAGCTTAAACCCACCGTTTGTCTTTAAATTTGAGGAGAATATAGGCCACAATCTTTACAAGAATTAAACCAAACTAGTACTTATGTGAGTGATTAATTCTGGCCTAATCATTGATCAAGACTCTCGGTTTACAATAATGTTCTCTGTTAATTATTTACTTTTGACTTGTTATTGACAATTTGTATCTTTATGTACATTATAATGATCTGTTTGATAGGTTTCCTTCTTGTATTTATATGTTACTCATGCCTGTTATATTTTTCCTGTGTTTTTATTTAATTTTTTAATTTTCATACTCTTTTGTTTTGTTATATATTCTTACTGGTTTTTGTATTTATTACACTTTGTATATTTTTTTATTCAGTTCACAAACTCTGTGAAAGCCAATAGAGAGAAAGGATCTCTAATACTGTAACTTATTTTTGGATGAAAATGAGAATACAACAAGAGGACCAGAAATACCCACACACTCAAAGAAAACCCAGCAACAACAACAATGAATAAACAAATAGATGAATACATAAATAAATAAATGAAAACTTTGAAAATATATAAGTAAACAGCATACATTAAAGGTTGTACTCTACTCAAAACAGAGTACTGATTGAATAACCTAGATATAGAGAATAAATAGCCTTGTAAAGAAATGGTGTGATATGAATGGAGATGGACCCAGGTGTTTTGACTGCATGGTCATTTATTAGAGCTGGATCTTATCAAAAGACCTTGAATTATTAAACACTCCTAATGTCTAATGTCCTCTGACTGAAATGGAAGATCTGTTAAAGAGAAGGTTGAGTTGTGGGAAGAGGTGAAAAATAATTTGTGAGCATTACTCACTCTTATTATGCAAGTGTGGAAGAACATCAGTTAAGACATGTTCCCTGAAA